AAAAATGGGTTTCCGAGCTTTCGGAAACCGATAAAAGGGTTCTCGAGGGCAAGAAATGGGTTTCCGAACACTCGGAAACCTTTCTCCCTTGGTTTCCGAGAATACTGTTTTTTTTAGAGAGCAGTTGTTGCACATCTTCTGTTCGTAATGCTTTATTGATTAAACGGTAGACAACCAATTTTTCGTGTACCATTAAATGGCATCTTCAGATTGATAGATTCGTTCAAATTCGTCAATACGTTGCAATTCTCAAATATGATTACGATAGTCATTTCGTGAGGCATCAAGCATCTCCTTCTTGGAATTGTCATAATGTGGCAATAGAATAACAACATCTGTGAAAACGGTGTGATGTGGGGTGTGGGTGTGGATGTGTTGGCGGGTGTGAATGGAAGAAAGGACTCACACCCACCTCCACACCCACACCCACCCACACCCACACCCACACCCACACCCACACCCACACCCACACCTACACCCACATCCACACCCACACCCACACCCACACCCACACCCACACCCACACTCACACCCACACCCACACCTACACCCACACCCACCCACACCCTACGAAAATAGGTGTCTATTGTTCTTATGAATTCGAGTTTTTACTTTCAATACGAAGTTGTTCTTTTTTTTATCTTGAATTTTTGGCTGTTTTTATGGACAACGCTTCTGATAAGAGTGCAATTGAGAAGGATTAAAAAAGATAACAAAGAAAAAGCAAGGTAGACATGAAATATAAAGTATTGTCTTGATGAAGAAAAAAACAGACGTATTGAATCAACACAACATACGTCAAATTTGGAATTTATCGTCGCTGAAGATTACTCGATATAGTTGGTTTTCATTACTCGATTCTAATAGGTAACTTTCGTACGATGATTTGTAAGGTTAGGAAAAGTATTTTAAATTCATAAACAGTGCGAACAAATAATTAGAATATTGATTAGAGAGATTTCACTCATTCCTTTCTGTCAATTGTAAAGTAAAAGTTAGAGTGACGATTGTCTGATGAAAAAGTCGTTAGTGAAAATGATGGCAAATAACTTTCTACAAAAACTGATCCTGTTCAAATCCCATAAGAAAACCTGAGAATGAGAATGAAGATCTTCGAATTTTACAACATGTTGTCAAGATGAACAAAGATGGGGATAGGTGGTAAGGTAGTGCACAAGCATTCGAGCAAACATCTTCACTCAACACGTCACGATATCATATTGAATACGAAAGGATATAATTACATTCGGTAGTACTGTCTTAATTTGAGTGAAAAATGATTTTCACTACAGATTAACGCTTTCAAACTGAGTTATAAGTAATGATACGCAATTCGACATATCAACAAGCGATAAGAATTTCTCATCACAAACAAATGTTTCATTGCTTTAAGGGTGTGGGTGTGGAGCGTGGGTGTGGATAAATGTGGGTGTGAGTAAGAGAAAAGAAGACACCCACACCCGCACCCACACCCGCACCCACACCCACACCCACACCCACACCCACACCCACACCCACACCCACACCCGCACCCACACCCACACCCACACCCACACCCGCACCCACACCCATGTAGTCTCCCTTTTTAAGTAGAAGAATTCCCAATATCGATAACCTGNCGCGACCCCCGCCCCCACCCCCGCCCACACCCCCCCCCCCCCCCGCGCCCACCCCCACACCTACAGCCACACCCGCACCCACACCCACACCCACACCCACACCCGCACCCACACCGAGAACAAGATGTCGGCAACTATGACGTGAAGCACGTTTATCCCAATGATCATAAAGATGTCCTTAGTAATCCTCATTTTTACTAATATATAGATCTCAAATAGTCACAGATCAGTGGTATTATATAAGAGGTATAAGTGATAAAAGGATCTCATTTTTCTGATAGATGGCTGAACCTACATGAATAACTGAATGTTGAGACATCTTGCCAGTTGATTACGCCCATATATTGTTTACCGAACAAAACCAACCTATGATGTAAAGTCCTTTTGTCTTTTAGTTTAACCAACTAAATCTCTCATCTACATGAACAATAGTAAGTTCAGCCTAATTGCATTATCAAATATAGAGTCTCATCTTTTAAAAGATCCATGTTCAAACAAGATTAATAAAGAAGATTTTACTTTAATATGGCTCGATCAAACATTAGACAAAGACATAAACGATTCGAGAGACACATCAAAGCTTCGACAAGCTGTTGATGATTTGAACACCTATGTCGATTTAAATGAATGTGAAAATTACATTCGATCACATCAAAATGAAAACATCATTTTCGTTGTATCTGGCACATATGGACAACACATTGTGCCAAATATTCATGATTTGATACAAATAAAACGTATTTATGTATTTTGTCTCAATGAAGCCAATCATATTGAATGGATAAAAAAATATTACAAAGTAAACAACAATACCTTTACACAAACTGAAAAACTTCTCGAAGCACTCAAACCTTACATTCGTCAATATCAACAAACTTTATTGATTCAAAAATCAATAGTTGATGTTGAGAACAAGACAACTGACTTCAAATGGGCCCGATTTCTAACTGATACATTAATTCAATCACCTCCAGAATCAAAAGCAAAAGTTGAAATGATTGAGACATTGAGAAAACAATACCATGATAATTCATTTCAGCTAAACTTTATTGACGAATTCGATAAAAACGAAAACGATGAAAGTGCAGTGACATGGTATACAAAAGAAGGATGTATTTATAAAATCGTAAATCGCATATTTCGTGAAGAACAGATAGACGAAATATTTAATTATCGCGCATTTATAAAAGAATTAGCCGAACAATTAAATCAACTTTACATAGATCAAATAGAGGAATATCGCGAATGGGGTATATCTAAAATTACAGTCTATCGGGGTGCAGGTGTACCACATCATGATATGAAAGTCTTAAAATCAAATACGGGTCAACTCATTTCGTTCAACGGATTTTTGTCCACAAGTCCAGCGGAACAACTTGCATTAAGCTTTGCACATGCACAGTTTGGAAGCAGTGATCTAACACCTGTTCTATTCGCATACGAAATCGACATAAACCTTGATACAACAGCCTTTGCTGAGATAACACAGATAAGTGCAATGAAAAGAGAAAGAGAAGTTCTTTTTAATCCTGGTGCAATATTCAAAATTGAACAAGTCCAATATACGGATGGAGACATAATGTGGCGAGTGGATTTATCATTATGTGAAAGAGATTTTATGGTTGGACAGCACTATATAGAAATATCGATGTTAGAAAGAACTTCTATGAATAATTTACTTCTCTTTGCACTGTTGCTAATAGAAGCAGGATACAACAACAAAGCGGAAATATTTATTGAAAAACATTTTAATGAATATAAAGATCGAGCTGAAGAAGCCACAGAATCAAGTTCGACCAGGTTATCGATATTGGGAATTCTTCTACTTAAAAAGGGAGACTACATGGGTGCGCTAGAGAATTCCAAAAAGGCACTTGAAATCAATAAGCAAACTCTACCTGAAAACCATCCATTTATTGCAACAAACTACAATAATATAGGAGGAATATATAAAGACAAAGGTGACTATAATAATGCACTTGACTATTACAAAAAGGCACTTGATATTGAGAAACAAATTCTACCTGAAAAACATTTACATATTGGAATAAGCTACAATAATATTGGGTCGGTATATCAAGACAAAGGTGATTATGATAATGCACTTGACTGTTACAAAAAAACACTTGATATTTGGAAACAAACTCTACCTGAAAAGCATCCATATATTGCAACAAGTTACAATAATATTGGATCAGTATATCAAAACAAAGGTGATTATGATAGTGCACTTGACTATTTACAAAAAGCACTTAATATTTGGAAACAAACTCTACCTGAACAGCATCCAAATATTGCAACAAGCTACAACAATATTGGAGCAATTTATAAAGACAAAGATGACTATGATAATGCACTTGAGTATTACCAAAAGGCACTTGATATTTTGAAACAAACTTTACCCGAAAAACATCCACATATTGCATCAAACTACAATAATATTGGAGCAATATATAGAGACAAGGGCGATTACCATACTGCACTTGATTATTTCAAAAAGGCACTTGATATTTGGAAACAAACTCTATCTGAAAATCATCCAGATATTGCAACAAGTTACAATAATATTGGATCAGTATATCAAGACGAAGGTGATTATGATAATGCACTTGATTATTTCAAAAAAGCACTTGATATTTTGAAACAAACTCTACCTGAAAAACATCCACATATTGCAACAAGCTACAATAATATTGGAGGAATATATAGACACAAAGGTGACTATGATACTGTGCTTGACTATTACAAAAAAGCGCTTGATATTAGGCAACAAATTCTACCAGAAAAGCATCAAGATATTGCAACAAGCTACAATAATATTGGATCAGTATATCAAAACAAAGGTGACTATGATAATGCACTTGGCTATTTACAAAATGCACTTGTTATTAGGCAACAAATTCTCTCTGAAAAGCATCCAGATATTGGATCAAGCTACAATAATATTGGATTAGTACATAAAGACAAAGGTGACTATAATAGTGCACTTGAGTATTTACAAAAGGCACTTGATATATTTAAACAAACCCTACATGAAAAGCATCAAGATATTGCAACAAACTATAACAATATTGGATTAGTATATAAAGAAAAAGGTAATTATGATGATGCACTAGAATATTTGCAAAAGGCACTTGATATTTGGAAACAAACTCCATCTGGAAAGCATCCAGATATTGCATCAAGCTACAATAATATTGGATTAGTACATAAAGACAAAGGTGACTATGATAATGCACTTCACTATTTAGAAAAGGCACTTGGTATTTGGAAACAAACTCTAACTAAAAAGCATCCATATATTGCAACAAGTTACAATAATATTGGATCAGTATATCAAAACAAAGGTGATTATGATAGTGCACTTGACTATTTACAAAAAGCACTTCATATTTGGAAAGAAATACTACCTGAAAAGCATCCAAATATTGCCATAAGCTACAATAATATTGGAGGAATATATCAAGACAAAGGTGATTATGATAATGCACTTGATTATTTCAAAAAGGCAGTTGATATTTTGAGACTAATTCTACCTGAAAAACATTCATATATTGCAACAAGCTACAATAATATTGGATTAGTATATAAAGAAAAAGGTAATTATGATGATGCACTTGACTATTTACAAAAGGCACTTGATATTTGGAAACAAACTCTACCTGAAAAGCATCCACATATTGCATCAAACTACAATAATATTGGATCAGTATATCAAGAGAAAGGTGATTATGATAATGCACTTGATTATTTCAAAAAGGCACTTTATATATTTGAAGAAACTCTACATGAAAAGCATCCAGATATTGCATCAAAGTACAGCAATATTGGGAATGTTTATTGTGAGAAAGGTGACTATCATAATGGAATACTTTATTACAGAAAAGCACTGGTTATCTGGAAAGAAACAGCGCCCGAAAATCTCTGGGACATCGTGTCGCTTTGCTATTCTGTTGGAGAGACTTACGTTCAGCAATGTAAATATGACTGTGCACTTTTACATTGGGGTGCAGCAATCAGTATTTTGAAAGAACTGATCCCTGAAGATCATCCGATCATGGTATTTAGTTACCTTTGTATTGCAAAAATTGTGTATTCCCGATCAAGTCGAGACGTATGAAGGGATGACCGTGTGTGGAGTTATGTTGCCTATAATCTAGGTTGGTGAAGTATGGTGCAATCTTGTTTTCCTTCTCGTACATGTGTACAGTTCCTGTTTCTTTGATTCTTTACTTCTTTTTAAGTAATCCTTGTACTTTATCATTCTTATGTTTGTTTGCGTTGTAGATTGGGCAATTCCGTTTTTTTTGTTTAGTGATTGATGACATGGAAGTGTATTATAGTGTGTAATTAAACTTTGCATAACTCTTGTTTATGCAACTTTTCTACTAAAAAGTTAGATTCTACTGCAATTGGTGTTGGAATAGTTTATCATTTGCTGTCACCCGATATAGTACAGGGGTGTGAGTGTGGGTGTGGGCGGGTGTGGCTGTTGCTGTGGCTGTGGGTAGGTGTGGATGTGGGGTGTGCGTGTGGAAAAGAAAGAGATCAACTTCCACACCCTCACCCACACCCCTCAAACATGATATTTCAGAAGTTCACGTTAAAGCAAATGAAAAAGTACGTAAAAAGAAGAACTTGTTTGTTTCTCTGTTTGAAAAAATTTCTCAAAAATTTTCTTATTATTCAAGTTTTTGCATTTAGTATATTAAGACAAAATAAAATATATCTTAATGAATGAATTATTATAATTAGTTCTTTACATATTGCGTGATTACTTTTTTTTTAAACAGTTTCAGAGTCTTATTCCGATTATATAATTCCTAGTTGGTTCTGTTCTCTCTGGTAATTTCCTAATACGTCAGCACACTCATGCTGTCTCTTATACAAAGTTTTCTTAACTGAAAGCAATCAACGATCAGTATTGATTATTTCGATAGTCACTTTCTTCTCTCCTGACAATTTAATCGTAGAAGTGTTTTTCTTGACAAATCACACGGATTTTACTAGTTTCAATGACTAATTTTGTGAGAAAATATATATGAACATTTCCATATTGCACATTTAAATTTATCGATATCAGAACACCTACAAATCGTTATGTTATCGATATAAATTTTTACATTGTGCCATTTGTTAAAAAAAATTCATGTGAGAACTAGGCTGATTTGGACTCTACGATTATTACAGGCAGTTCAGAGTATATTAGAATCGACTCGATTTTCTCTATTTTACCAAACTTCAGACAGTATTCACTCATTTTGATGCTATACACTATCTTACATACATTTTTATTTTGTATTATTTAGAGCATCGTTTTTCAAGAGTTGCAAAAGATAACAATATTTTACCACAAGAACAATGTGAAAAGATTCAGTAGATTCCGCACTTTCTTTCTGTATATGGCCAGTTAATAAATGAAAAAACAATAGCTTGTTTTATACTATCTTGGTGAATGCATTTTAAGAACTAGAAGATACTTTCCTTCCTTCACACGTGACTAATTACTATTAAGTGCACTTTGCTTTCGATCACCATTTTGAATATCGTACAAGTTATAATGGATATAAACTTTTTTGTTGATTATCCATTTAATGTAAATAAACTTGAATAATAAACGAAAATCATATTAAAACAAAAGAAAAGAAAATGCAGTAATAATTTATTATTCTATTCAATTATATGACAGGTAGAATTTTCGACCAGTGTCTGTTGGAACTAGCTTATAAATTCGGTCATCATCGGTACGTTCACATCAAATCAAAGTACAACATAACAGGACAAATAAAGCATAAATGACTGAATCATTAATAGTACGATAAACAAATCATTCAGTCATTTATGCTTTATTTGTCCTGTTATGTTGTACTTTGATTTGATGTGAATATACTGATGATGACCGAATTTACAAGCTGGTTCCAACAGACACTGGTCGAAAATTCTACCTGTCATATAATTGAATAGAATAATAATTTATTACTGCATTTTCTTTTGTTTTAATATGATTTTCATTTATTACTCAAGTTTATTTACATTATATTTGTCATATTGCCTAAAAATCAGAAAAATCAAAACAAGATACTATTATAGAATTATACTTGGCCATGTGTTTTCGACCTCGGAGAATAATATTTATCGACAAACAATAAATAAAGAGATCGTATATGTTAAATCAATATATATTATCTCGAGAAAGATTCGACAGGTATCTATAAGATTCTTAATATAATCATGTTTATTATAATATAATTAAGAATTAAGTTCAAAATGATATTATTTATATAAATCTATCAATATTTATATTGAATATTCGATTTAAAATGTGAGAATAAATTCTTTTATTTGACTTCTATTGATATTAATTATTGTCAAAATAATTCAATTTAAATATTTAATATATATCGAATTAAAAAGTATAATAATAATAATAATTAGTTTTTTATTATATAATTAATATAGATACTGAATATATTTATTTGATCGATTTCAATATGTTTAGTCTCTAGTGAAAATATTTATTATTTAATTATTTATTGAATTTTTAAAATAAAAAGATATTTATTTTAAAAATAATCTTTCTTGAAAAGAATTTATATTTTAGAAAAAAAAGGAAGAAGAGGAAGAAGAGGAAGAAGGTTTGGTTTAAAATGAAAACATTATTTTTCAACTTTGATCTTTGTTATTTTAACACATCCTTTTTGACCTGTTTTGGATGTTAATCTAATTTCAACTGAATATTCTCCAGTGGGTACAGATGTTGATACTTCCATTGGCATGTTCATTATTTGTTTTCCCTTTAAATTAAATATTTTGAATATATTTAAATTTTAAAAAAATCCCATTCAATATCTTACAGCTAATATTGGACAAGAACAAGTTTTACAAAAAACACACCAATCATCATAAGTACATGATCCAACACCATCTGTACAAGGAACTTGAATATTACCGATCCAGGTTGCTTTTGATAATTTAAATTCTGTCTAAAAATAATTGATTTATAAAAAATAACCATATAATATTTAAAATAAAAACCTTAATTGGACTGATAACATCTGCACTTGCGTCAACATGAAGCGAAAATATAACCGAACTTGGAATTTTCATTGGATGAGGATTTATTTCAAGATGTGTTAATTGAATTACATCCGAAGCTGTACCACAGTTTTCAAACTTATATTGTCCTTTAACTGCAGCCTAAACAAATAAATATATTCATTTATAATAGTTATTAGTTTTTATCTTACCAATGAAATTAATATCATAAATAAATACGATATCATTTTATTATTCAAGAATCTAAATTAAATATTATATTAATATATATATATATAGAATCAAAATCAATTACTTGGATCGGTTTAGTCGTTGAAATAAATTCTTTTAGATAAATTCTTCGATGTTAAACATTTATATAGAAACTTTTTTATCTTATCTTTCATAAAAATAAAAAAGTCAACTGGTTATGCCATAAAAATACTAATAAAATCGTTGACTTGATTTATTTTTATGGATTGTTGATTTAGGGCTGGACGAATCAAGCCATTTCTCGAGTTCACTAGAGTCCGATTCATCAGTATTTATGAGTCGAGTCACATTATTTTTGTCATTTATTCAGTTCCTGTATGTGTTTAAAGATCGTGAACAACAAATGTTTTTTTATTACACGTGACCTAGTTTCTAGTTTTTATGCAAAAACAAAACGGAGATACAGACTGCTTCAAAAGTTTGTCAGGAAAGGAAATTCGTATAAGTCAACTATTTACAAGTATAATACTTCAATTTTTTGCGTTCCTTCTAACGTTTAGATCGGTCAGATGTTGCGTTATCGCTTCTATGCACTTGTTTTTGTATTTCACTAGAAAAAGAAGCCTAGTTTTGTCAACTCCAATGATCGTAAAGCTCAAAAGAGTGGATCACTTCTTCCAGTTCACCAGTCATCATTATGGAACATAAAGCAATTTCATAAGTTTCGTGATCACTAAACTTGACACAATTAGGTTTCTTTTTCTAGCAAAATTCAAAAACAAATGTATAGAAGCGATAATGCAACATCTGACCGATCTAAACGGTAGAAGAAACAAAAAGAATTGAAGCATTACAAGAGAGAGACTGTATTATCACTTTTTTGAATATCGAAAGTGACTGATTTTTCTATTTCAATCGAAAGTAATAACTTTAAACAGTATTTGAAAAAAAAAATTAGTTAATTAAATCGGAATAAACAGTGGAGTTATTCGAATTTGCTTTCCTAACGGACTTTTGAAACAGCCTATAGGTTACACATTAAATAAAATTGTATAACTACTCTCGGATTTCACCCTTAATACCAACAGTAAAATCAACGCATCTATATTAATAGTGGCACACTCTAGTTTTAAAAAAATGATGTTTTAGTTCATAAAAACCTAATCTTAACTCCCTTTTTTTAAGCAAAAAATATTTATCACAATTTATATAAAATGTCTTATTGCACTTTAAAAAGTATTAAAATAGAAATATTAGTCTTTTTTAATTTTCAACAACTTGATCTCATTGGAAGATCACTTTGAGAAAGCATGTTCCTTTGGTTCTGCCATGGCAGGACAACACAATTTTTCTAGCAAGACTATTACAAGATCGATATTATTTTCTTTAAGAATAGTAATATAGGTGTGAATGAGAAAATATGTTGTATCCATACGCATACTTGTTTTTGAAAAATAGACAATATGAAATGAATGATGAAAGAACTTGATGATCAGAATATTTTCACAAAGCAATTATGTTGATAAAGAATATGATCTGGGATGCATTATTGCATTCAGCTATAGAGTCTTCAAAGATAAGTCCAACTCATCACTCGAATTCTTGACAGTATCNGAAGAAGCGAAGAAAAGCACACATATTTAATATTACACATAGATAATTATTCACGATTATATGAATTTCTAGATAGAAAAAACTCTTGGAAAAATTATTCAGATACTGTCAAGAATTCGAGTGATGAGTTGGACTTGCCTAGCCCTGTCGTGATTATTATTTGATAAAAGTGAAAGTGATTATATTGTTTTTTACGAAGATTTCTTTCCTCAAAGTCAACTTATGTTTATCATAATAATTCTTTATCATAAATAAAACTGAAAGAATTCCAATCGAT